GTCCAGCGACAGGCCTCGGGCACGCGGGCAGGGGCCACCGCGGCCTCTCCCGCCAGCCCCCCAGGAGCCAACGGCAAGACGGGGAGGGTGGCCCTGGCGACCTTGAACCGGACCAGCTTGCAGCGCCTGGCCATGGCGCAGTCCCGGGTGCTGATCGCCTCCGGGTAGGTGCTCGCGCCGCTGCCCCGGGCCTCCAGCCCTCAGGCAGAGCCGGAGGAGGGGCGCCCTGTCCGACTCCCGGGGGGCAGGTGGGAGCCCCAGGTGGGTGGGTAAGGGGCGCTGGCCTTTGGGGACGGAGCTCCGGGTTCTAATGGAGACTCTGCCCCTCCCCGGCCCTGCGATGGGCTGTCCCTAACTTCAGAGCCCTGCCTTCCTCCTCTGTGCCCGCTGGCAGCCACACTCGGGCTGCTGTGAGGACCACAGAGGTCATTAGCTGCGTGTCCCAGAGTGGGGGCTTTATCACCCCGTTTAACGCCTCACAGCAGCTCTGGGAAGTAGGCAGCTTGAGCCCGTTTTACACATGAAGAAAGGCTCATAACTCATCAGGGGCAGAGGCCGGGATACACACCTTGGGAAGCCTGACCTCAGAGCCAGGCTCTCTCTGACCCTGCAGGGCCCCTTCCCGGTCCAGCACCCACCACGGTGCCTGGCATCCAGTAGGTGCCAAATAGGGCTTTTCCCTTTCCTCTGGTCCCTCTGGCACCCGGAGGGGTGCCTTCAGATGGGAATCACAGCCCCCATTAGTGAGTCGTTACCACGTGCTGGAGGCATTCCCTGCACTGCCTCAGCTACTCCTGTGACAAGCTGGTGGTGACGTATGTTCTGCAATTGTTGCTTTTTATGCCCGTGGTCTGCTCGACCGTAAAATGGGAGAGACCCAGGGCCGAGCGAGCCTGCAGCCTCCGCCCACCAGCCCCTGGATCCTTATGAGATTGGCCTCTCAGAGCCACCCACTCTTCTTCCCTTTCTCCAGAGGTGCCTGGCCTGCGGCCCAGGAGCCGTGGGCAGCAGGGGTGGCTTAGAGTTAGGCTGGACACCTGAGCCTGAAATTCAGGCTGCCCAGAGGGTGATCTCTGCACACAGATTCAGCTCTGGAAGCAGAGAAGGAGGGCATATAGACATAGACCGGGAGGCCCGGCCTCGACTCCTGCCTCTGCCGCTCGGGTGAGCCGCAGAATCTTCGCAAGGTCCAGTTTCCTGGTGTGTGAAATGGGGATCATCACGCTTTCCCTGCCGACCCCAAGAGTCATCACGGAAACCTTGGCCAAGTGCTCTCCCCAGCATTATCCCGTTTCCTTGCCCTCCCTGGGATGCAAGTGTCAGGCACTTAGCTCAGCAGCAGCGCCCCAAGGAGAGCCACACAGCTGTGTGTTACAGAGTGAGGAGTGGAACCCAGGTTTCAGTCTCCAACCCGCTGCGTTTTTCCCCATAAGTCCAGCTCCTCAGTTATGCAAAAGCAGTGAACAAATAGTCAAATGCTGTCAGATGCATGTGACTTTCCTATGCCTCCCTCTGAGTGGGCAGAATATTTAGGAGAGGGGACTGGGTACCTAAACAGTGCCTCTGCTCAATTTCTCTACTGCCACACGGTAGCACCCTGGGGTCCTCTGACGGAGTTCAGGGTGATTACTGGTAGCATGTGTAAGAACCCAGACTCTAGAACACAACTCCCTAGACTTGAACCCAAGTTCCTTGCTGTGTAACTCGGGGCAAGTTTTGCATCCTCTGTCTTCAGTTTGCTCATCTGTAAAATGGGGACAATAAAAGCACCTTCCTTATAGGGTTGCCATGAGGATTAAAGGAAATACTTGGTGTATAGATTTAGCACAATGATTGATACATAGTAAGAGTTGGGTCAGAATTAGCTGCGATGTTGTTATTACAATTATTCTCAGGTATCTGTTGAATACGCGCTCTGTGGTTGTTGAATGGAAGTCAAAGCTGGGCAGCCTTACCTCATTTCTGGCGTCCTCTACAAATGCCAAGTGACCCCATGCCATAATGGAGGGAAGGGAGCCCCCGATCACTTTAAATCCCAGCGAGGGAGTCCGCAGCTCTTTATCTCTGGGCTTTACTCCTGCCAGCCGGTAGGGTCGAAGTAAGAGAACAGGCTGGCGGGCCGGCCAGGGCGGTTTCAAAAGAGCTATAGAAACGAGTTGTTTTTTTCTCTGCTCTGTTTTCCTGACAAGGGAGGCCCCTCCCTAGCTTCCAGCCCTTTTCTTTTCACCTCTTACCACCTCCCTCACCCCCACCACCGTCTTCTGCTCCAGCCTTTCTTGGCCATTTAATTAGCGTGTTTACTCCCTTTGTCTGGCATTGCCATCGACCTTCTGTCATCCAGCGGCCCCTCCCCCCACCTCTCGCTGCCCGTGACCTCTTCAAGCAACTTTCCCACGGAAAAAAAGGAAGACCAGGGAGGGCGGGAGAGGTGGGATGGAGAGAAGGGTTTGGGGGGAACAAAAGGCCCTGTGAATTATTCAGGGACACAAGCAGGGGGCTTCTGAAGAGAAGAGGGGAGGGCTGGACAGGGAGGGCAGAATTGCCCCTCTGGCCCTCTCCTCCAGAATTGAGGCTTCTCCATCTCCAGCGAGGCCATGGTTGCTGGAGGGACAAGACCATTGTTCTGCCCAAGGACTCCTGAGTTGGCTCATGGCTCCAAGACAAGCACTGCTTCTCACCGTGGGACCTGCAGAGCTGTTCTCCCCTCCCCTGCCACTGTGCCAGCTCTTCTCTTTTCTTAGTTTTATACTTCAGGAGCAGGAATTAAAGCTTGCACCCTCCATCCCAAAGATTAACCCAAGAGCATAGGGCAAAGGAGGTGTCTTCTGATTGGCCAACAAGTGGTTAGGCAGACAGCTTTGGCAGAGTTGCCTGAAGGATGCGGAAGCTTGCCTGCCATGGGGGCTGCTAATCTCCAGAAGGAGGGCTCAGGCCTATAGAGCTGGGGACCCAACCGGGCGTGACCTATGTGGACTACATGGGCCAGTCTCCGTGGTCCTCATTTTAACCACATAACAGGGGGACTGGGTGACCACTTGCCGCTAACTCAACAATCTTAAGTACTGCCCAGCACTCAGCTTGATGCTTTACACTTGATGCCCTCAAGAACCTGAGAAAATTGGAATATTACAGCAGGAGACTGTATCAAGGCCAACTTCCTCTTACAGCTGGGAAACAAAAATGTAAATGATCGCTCAGATTTGCATAAGGGTTGGCTATTTACTAAGTATTTGCTCCAGATCCTGTATCCCCATTGGCGCCCCAGGGGACAGAGACGTAGGGTGCCCTGTTTACTCAGATGTGGTCATCAAGAGCAGAGAGGCTGTGTGGCCCTCCCAAAGGCACATGGCATGGCCCAGCTGGACTGGAAGGTGGACTTCCTGGACCCTTGTGGGGGAGAGGGGCTCCTTCCTCTATACCCTTCTGTATCTCATAAACAAATATCCTCTTCCTTCCCATGCCCTGGTGCCACCCAGAATCTAGTGAAAAGCCCTTCTGCCATGCTGACCCTTTCCTGGCATAGCAGGGTCACCCACCTTTCCCATGGTATTCACAGGTGTCCCAGGCCCCACCTGCAGACCCTCCTTCCCCAGACCTTGCCCCCACCCCGAGTTCCTGGGCTGCCTGGGGGGGAGGGGAGTGCGCTGTGCTGGTTGGAATATTTCCTGGTTAAGCAGATTGGGTGTGGAAACCTGCCAGTCCAGTTTGTGGGAACAAAGGTAGCTTTTGTCACCCAGATCTCAGCTACTTATCAGTGGGAGAGGGGGCCTTGGAGTGGTGAGGGGTTCAGGCAGGTGCTGGGCTGGGCGGAGTGCTGCCCCCTGGTGGGGAGCAGGGAGACAGGAAGCCGGACCTTTGCTCCCAGCCTCTCCAGGTATAGCCAGGTAAGGAGGCCACTCAGCTGTGGGTGGAGGACCCTGGGCTTTGGCTGCCACCCCGTTCTTAGGTACTGGGGTGGGAAATTGTGAGGAAATCTCCCTGTCATCTTCTAACTCCACACCCTCACAGGTCTACAGATAAGGAAACTGAGGCTCAGAAAAGTTAACAGACTTTGTGAGGTGTTATTGGCAGGATCGGGGTTCGAATGCGTTTTTCCTGGTTCCTGGCCCATCATACCATGCCTGGCCCAGTGTGTGTGTGTGGGGGGGGGGTCACAGGATCCAAGATCTAGCTCATGCTCTTTTCCTGGTCTGCTTTCCCTTGTTTTGAATTCCCCTCCCCCATCCGGGTTTGATTTATCCTGGGGACAGTTTCCAGGGAAAAGTAGCCTTTTGTGGCCTGCTGAGACACAAACACTCCCACATCTGTTATTTCCACCTCCTCACAACCCTGGTGCACAAGTCATGGTCCCTGGGAAGGGACAGAGAGGCCCCGGAAGACTCAGCATAGCTGGGGAAGCATTGCCAGGCATGTGGGGGACAGGCAACCCCACTGCTCAGCCTTGAGGTCCGTCCCAGCTCTGCCGCCTCTCAGATGCGGGTTTATTCCTTCACTTCCTGAGCTTCATGTTCTCTGTCGTCAGCGTTGGGTGACAGGCTGACACAGACATAAGAGCACAGCGTCGTGAGTGGCTGAAACGGTGGGCTCGAATTCTTAGCTGTGTGATCTTCACCAAGTTTGCTCAACCTCTCTGTGCCTCAGCTTCCCTGCCTCGTAAAAGGGGGTTCATAATAACAACACCTCATGCATAGGTTGTTGGAAGGACTGGATGACTGACTTATTGAGAGCAGTGAGAGCGTGTGGGGTGCAAGGCGGGCTCTGTGCATGTTAGGGATGACCACACCCGGGTGAAGGCTCGTGGGCTGTCGTGTTCACCGAGATGTCCCTGGCTCAGTTGGAATGGACAAGTAAACAAGTAATAAACAAAATAAGTAACCAGGCTCACATGCTCTCTCTCCCTCCTCCTGTTTGCCCAGCACCACCCTGCCCCCCACAGCAGAACTGTCCGCTTCTGAGGCTGCCTGGCTCCTGGGGTCATCTGTGACCCAGCGCAGTGGCCTCTCCAAGCCCACGTCTCCCTCCAAGCCCAGCTGTGGGAGCCTGGGTGGCGGGGGTGGGGGAGGGGAGATGGCGCAAGACCCAGCCCCACATGTCCCCTATTTTTCTAGCTGGCGCCGTGGGAGGCCTCTCCTTTCCCAGGCAGCTGCGCCATCTCCTCTCCAGCTTGGCTTGAGGTGCTGGGAGAGGAACAGAGCGAGGAGGAGGTTTTGCCTGATGTTTATATTTCTCGGGGAGAAGGAGAAGCAGCAGCTGTTAGAGCAACGGCGTCCAAACGCTGGCCGGGGGCCGGCAGCATCTGCATCTTCTCCCCAGAAGCGCGTCAGAGCGCAAGCTCTCGCGCCCTGGTGCAGGCCTGGGGCTCGGCCTCTCTCAGAGCTTCTGAGGGGACTCTGCTGTGCACCCAGGTGTGACTTGTTTCTTTATGTTTTCATTCCTTCAGCAAGTGTTCATGGAAAGCCTACCAGTGTCAGGCTTCTGAACAAAGTTTCGGGAACCTCACTGAGCAGGCAAGATGTGAGCCGAGAGTGAAGGCGGTGTAGGAGGGAGCCAGGAATGTATCTGGTGGAAGAGCGTGTTAGGCAGAGGGAACAGCATAAGCAAAGGCTCTGAGGCAGGACGTGTCAGGCATGTAGGAGGAACAGTCAGAGCAAAAAGGCGAGTGATATGAGGGAGAGCAGAGAGAGAGGAGGATTGGGGTGGGGAGCATGGGCAGAACATGCAGGCCTGTGTAGGCCTTGCTGGGACGTTGAGTGGACTGAGGAGCCATTCTGAGCTTGGAGGTTCTGAGTGGAGGAGTGATACCATCTGACTTAGTTTTGAAAGTATCACCTCCAGCTGCACTGCTAATGATACCATTGTAGTTAGCTGGTTATTAATAATAGAAATGAGCAAAGGGAAGGCCAGACATTATAGGCATGTCATTTGTGCAGCTTCACCAGGAAACTAGCGTTGCACTCCCCTGCAGATTGCTGGGGGAAGAGACCCAACAAAGGGGAGATAGACGCATGCACAGTGAAGTTGGGGTGAAGGTATTTGCCTATCAGTCAAACCTGGGGAGCCATGGGTACAGCCCATGCAAGCCTGAGAAAATTTGGAAATACATACTCCCCTAAACAAAGGAGTTGTCTCTCTTGTTGCTCTCGACTCGGCTCTTGGCTTCCTTACATTTGCCCTTGTGGCCCACGGCCATGCGGACCCTGCACGCGATGGACTAATGGGCTGCAGTGGGAAACCTAAGCTAAGTTGGCCCGATGCTGGACTGGATTTGGTTCCAACATGGAAAGGAAACTCTGGACACTGGCTCTGAGTTTAGCTCTGCTGAAGCCCCAACTACATTTCTTCTATGACTAGACTAAGAGAAATGGGACCTCGGAAACGCAGGGGTGTACTTCCATGGAAATGAACCTTCCTGCAATATCTCACCCTCTCTTGCAAGGCTCAGAAAATTCTTTTTCCCAGGATATCGCAAGAAATCCACCCCCACTAGCAACAGGTTGGGACAAGGACCCCACCCCACCAGTAACACTAAGAACTTGCTGCGTCTTATTAGGGATGGTTAGCTTCTCTGTAAGAAAGGGGAGCACTTCACTGGGTGAAATTTTGAGGTCCCAACACTGGCTCATGCTGTCCCGCTTGTCAAAACCATAAGGCATCTGCTCTTTCCTTCCACAGGGTCCCCACCGTCCCAGTGAAGAACCTAAACGGGTCCAGCCCTGTCAACCCTGCCTTGGCAGGTAAGGGACACCCTGGGCTGGTCTTGCTGCAGGTAGAAAACTGAAAGCCAATAAGTAGTGAGTGTTTGTAAGAGAAAGAGACTTCGGATGTTAATGTAAACAAGGATTTTAGGAGTTGGGTTGAATGAGCAGGAAGAGGGTCCATGGAGAATCCCTGAGTTAGGAGAACTCTGGGGAGGGGAGGAGAGGAGGTTAATGGGGAGGGAGGAGTTGAGGGGCAGTGGGGAGCTAACTCTCCAGTCCCTGACTCCTGCCCTGCCCTTCCAGGCATCACCGGGATCCTCATGAGTGCGGCGGGGCTGCCTGTGTGTCTCACGAGGCCACCGAAGCTGGTCCTCCACCCACCCCCTGTCAGCAAGAGCGAAATAAAATCCATCCCAGGGGTTTCCAACACAAGCCGCAAGACCACCAAAAAGCAAGCCAAGAAAGGTATCAGCCTCCCTGTCCTATGGGAGACTGGGAGTCCAAGACTTGGCTCCGGGCCCCGGCTCTGCCTCCACCACCGAGGGTCATCCCCGTGGCTTACCCACTTGCGCCTTAATTTCTGCATCAGCTAAACAGGCTTAACTTGTACCTGTTTTGGTGATTATATCACAGTGGACTGTGTATAGATCAGACGGAGACACTTTAAGAGGTATCACAATGCAGTGCAGAATTATAAAAACATATATAATAATAGGGAGTGTGACACAAATAAAATACGTTAGAGAGAAAGATCACCTTGGCATTGGAACCAAAACAGACTGGATTCAAATCCCAGCTTTGCCACTCTCAAGTCAAGACCTCAGAGAACCTCTGTTTTCTCCCCTTTACCCCGGAGGGGGCGCCGGGGGGAGGGAACAATCGCAACCAGTATTCAGCAAGCATGCCCTGGAATGCGTCCGTGACAGTTGTGAAGTGGCCACTGTTTTGTGTCCCCTTTGAGCCTCTAGACTCTCTGGCCACTTGTACCCCCTTCAGGAGCTCCTTCCTACATGCCCACAATCCCACAACTAAAGGGTCAATACCTGTGCCCACCCTGCTATCAAAGGGCCCTGCCTCAGCCCTGTGGCTGGTCCTTCTGGTCGCTGGCATTGGTGGCTAAATGTGTTGACTGTCACCCTTAAGCCCCCACCTTGCAAACATGTTATGAAGTTTCAGTTTCATTGTACATACATTGCACTTAGCCCAGGGCCTGGCAAGAGAAGCAGGACAGTGGGAAGGAAGGGCCGGCGTCCAGCTTTGGGCTGTTGCCCGATCCACTTCCTCAAACCCCTGTCCTACTTTCCCAGTCTATCCGACTTTCTCTGCTAAATGAACTCGATTGCCTTGCTCATAAGCTGATAGGAAATGACAGGAATTTGCACTTTCCCACTCTTCCTGTTATTATTAATAGCACATATCGGATCCTTAACTGGCAATGTGCTAAAAGGGCTGTGTGTCCATTAGCTCATTTAATTGTCAGAACTACTCTTTGAGTGGATGCTATTGCTCCTCTGCATTTTATAAGTGAGAAACGGAAGCTTAGAGAAGTTCAGAGAGTCACCCAAAGAGGCGCTGGCCCCTTTTCCTTCTGTGCCTCCTTGTGAGGCTGGATCGTCTCATCCCCTCCTTCAGGCTAGGCCGCCTCCAAGAGATCCAGTCCCCAAAGAAATTCCAGAGTCATTGCATCTGTCAGGGTGCTTCCCAGAGCATCAGCCTTTCCCTGCCGCGGGGCTACATCTGCTGGCAGCGACCCCACCCTACCCTCGACAGCCAGGGAAGACTGTTCTGAAGCTGTGGCCACAGCTTCGCGGTTTCCCATGAAAATAATATCACTTTGACGCCACATTACAGATCGAGACAATACTTGGCACATTCTACCTAATTTTTTTTTAACCTGTAACAGTGTACAGGGCGCTTTTATTCCTGCTCTTATCACATCATTTGAACAGATCCAGGCTCTGTGATTATATGGAAGAGAAACCCACTCAGTCTTTCTCATTGAAAAGTGGGTTTGTTGCAAATAGGCAGGGAGGTGTCAGGAAAGAGATGCAGGAGGTGATGGCAGACGGGATAACCTCCCACCTCCTCAGACCACCTCTCTGCCTCTTCTGTCCCCTGATTCCCTTCCAAATTCTTAAATCCCGTTGCAGAATGAATTCCTTCCCTTTCGTGCCTTAAGCCTGGCTGATCAGGTTCTCCTCTGGTATGCCCAGCTCGGCGAGGCTGTCTGACCCCTTGTCTCAGTCTCAGTGGCGCACTGACCATCCTGTCCCCACAGGTAAAACCCCAGAAGAGGTGCTGAAGAAATATCTGCAGAAAGTCCGGCACCCGCCGGATGAGGTGAGTGCAGGGCGTGCAGGGCATGCAGGGCAGGGCTCACCTTCTCCATCACCCACCCGCACCGTCTGCCGGAGTTTTCACACCATGCGCAAGAGCCGCTTGCTGAGTCCTGGCAGGTCCAGAGCCGGGCAGGGTGGACGCCTGCCTGGGCTCCGACGGTGGTGGTCCCAAGCTGCAGCTTCAACTCTCTGCTCCCCACTCCACAAAGAGCTGATTGATCCTAAAGTACCTTAACAGGACAGTCTGAATTTAAGGAAAGCAGAATGATATGCAGTGGGAACTGACCTTAAAAGGGCTGGATGATCAGTGGTTCTCAACCAGAGGCGCTTTTGCCCAACTTTTGGGGGAGACGGGGTGCTACTGGTATCTAGTGAGAAGAGGCCAGGGATGCTGCTAAACACCCTTCAATGCCCAGGACAGCCCCTGCAGCAAAGGATAACCAGCCCCTAAGGTCAATGCTGAGAAACCCTGTAGTAGATTTCTTTAAATAGCAGTCCCTCTGGTACACTAGAATTATTCCTTTATGCAAATCCAGCTTAAAGAAAGCTTATCAATGGGTCTGCCAGCCGGCATTGGGTTCCTTCCCAAGCCATTGAAGGACACGAAGGAAGGACAGTGCATCGCCCGAGCCCGCAAGGAGATTGTAATTTTGTTGGCCAGCCCAAGTTAGCATGTACTGACACCAGGATTATTTCAGGAATTCTTCTGTTGTGTAAAGCAAGAGAAAGCTACGTTTAGACTCCCAGAGGCACATATACCCTAGTTTGTGAGCTTTCTAGAAGAGGATCGATGACAGCTCACCCGAGTTCGGGGACCATCGTGGGGATGCTCTGGCCTCCCCGGCTCTGTGAGGCTTGACGGCCTGTCTGCTCTGTCCCCTGCTGCCCCCAGGACTGCACCATCTGCATGGAGCGCCTCTCAGCCCCCTCGGGCTACAAGGGCCCACAACCAACGGTCAAGCCTGACCTGGTGGGAAAGCTGTCCAGATGCGGCCACATCTACCACATCTACTGCCTGGTTGCCATGTACAACAATGGCAACAAGGTGAGTGCCAGCCTGCGGGGCTCCTGCGCTCCCAGACGGGGCCCTGGAGAGGCAAGAGCGTGAAGGCCCTACTGGAGTTGTGCCCAGTGATGCGGGGAGTCCTAAAGGCAGTCCCCGGGCATCCGGAGCCGTAATCCTGGCTTTTCTCAGCAGGATCCAACCTCCACAAGATTACAGTGTGGCAAAACCTGTCTTTACCTTCCCGTTGGGCCATGCTGCCCAACCGCCCAATCTCTGCAGTAGGCATGGTGGTCTGAGAGGTATGGACCTCTGTCCCTGAGGTTTTTGAGGAGAGTGGTCCATTGTCATGGCCCATGGCTGGGTGAAGTGGGCCCCCATCAATGAGGGAGAAAGAAGTTCTCATCACAGCACTGGGCCCGTGGTGAGTGTTCATTAATACTGGCATAGATGGGTTTCCCAATCATCCTTCCTTCTCTAAGACAAGTGATTTCCAGTTATAATTCATTTTTTTTGGACATTTTCAAAACTCCCTTGGTTGCCCCTTCAAAGGCACTAGGGATTGTTGCCAAAGTCCACCTGGTAATCCCTTAAGATCCCCCTGCTGGACTAGGGGAAGGCTGTGATAGGGGTGTCGTTCCCCCGTTAGAGCTGGTTTCTGAGAACCTGGGAATGTCCTTGGATGATAACTCTCTCCTCACAATGTCCCAGCTTTTTCTAAGTCTTTGACTTTTCTAATGTTCTTTCCTGTACCTAGAATAACCTTTAACCCCATCTCCATGAATTTGAACCCTACTTGTTTTTCCTGGCCCAGCTTGGTATGTGTCAGAGTCTGAGATTTCCCAGATCTCCTCCAACCTCTTACTCATCCAAAAAAGTGTCTGGCTTTCAAGGGGCTGCTGTGTGCTTCTCTTGCTGCGGGAAAGAGTAGAGGCAAGAGAGGCAGCTGACCCAGGATTGAACCCTGGCTTAGTAGCTGAATGACCTTGGGCAAGATTTTCAACTCTGAGGTTTCATTTTCCATCTGGAAAATGGAGATAAAACAATGCCTACTTTATAGGGTGTTATTTCTATCATGATTCAAATTGATACCTCCTTTGTGTTAATTATGGCTATAATTTTTCCCCTTCATCCTTATGTAAAACTATGATTGAATTCCCCAAAGTGCTGAGGACCTTTCTCAGTGTCTTGGGAAGTACATGTTCAGTCACTGATGGGTGACACATATCTAGATCCCGAGGTCACATTCCTGACCCTAAAGTAAAAGGTTTCATTGGGACTTTGTGCTTTTAGAGGTTGTTTTGGGTATAAAGAGCTTCATTAACATATCCTCTTTTGATGACTGTATTCAAGAATAAACTAGTACCTCTTTGCATTTATTTCCATGATGCTTTAAAAATGTTTCTTTAGACACCATCCTTTGTTCTCTTTGGCACTAGTACTTTGAAACATGTGGGTGTGTTTTGTTTTGTTTTTATTTTCTTTACACAAAAGAGGAGAGAAAAGGGCCCAGAGAGAAATGGAGTGATTCACCCAAGGTCATGAAGCAGCTCAACGGCCAGAGCAGAGAGTGGGACCCCAGCTTCCTGACCCCAAGCCTTGGGTTCCCATTCCTTGATCACATGGAGCAATTGAATACAAGCTATGCCTTTAAATGAGTAGAGCTTGAGTTGAAATGTCCCTAAATAGCTCCGCAGAGGATCCCTGCCTTCCCGAGGAGATGCGGGTGTCCTGGCGAGCTTCGGGCCCAGCTGTGTGGCTGCATCTCTTACACACGTTGCTCCCTGCGTACTCACGCCTTCCTTCTCATTCCCTTTCTTCTTGTGAGCCTGGCAATAGAATTTACTGCCCAGGCTCTCACCCTTCCCTTCCAGGAGACACCTCTCCAGGCCCTTACATCACTGCAGCCTTAGTAACCCCCACTGTACCCCCAACAGAGCCCTGAGGTGCAGTGCCAACCTGGTCTCCTTCTCAAAGACAGGGTCTCTCTTACATGTCCCTCAGTATGGAGTTCGAGGCTGTTTGTGGAATTTTCCTCCTGTTACTCTGGTAGCCAAGCGGGGGTGGGGCAGCTAAGGTCTGACACTCATTTGGGTGCATTTTGTCCCCCAGACCCTTTGTCTCTAGTACCTTTTGAGGTTGGGTGGGGAGAACATTCCCAAAACTGTTTCCCAACCTGGTGTCCTGGCCTTGTCCCCTCAGGACGGCAGTTTGCAGTGTCCGACCTGTAAGACCATTTACGGGGTGAAAACAGGCACCCAGCCTCCGGGGAAGATGGAGTACCACCTCATCCCACACTCATTGCCTGGCCACCCAGACTGCAAAACCATCCGGATCATCTACAGCATCCCCCCTGGCATTCAGGTGAGCCCACCCTCGTTTTAAACGTATGTAAGAAGATGTTTGTCTTCATCCATTCAGGCTGCAGTATCAACACACCACAGACTGGTTGGCTTTTAAACAACATAAATTTATTTCTGGAAGGTGGGAAGTCCAAGATCAGGGTGCAGGCAGATTCGGCGCCTGGTTCATAGACAGCTGTCTTCTCGCTGTGTCCTCAAATGGTGGAAGGGGAGAAGGAGCTCTCTGGGGTCTCTCTTATCAGGGCACTAATCCCACTCATGAGGGCTCCACCCTCCTAACTTACTCACCTACCAAAGGCCCCCCCCACCTCCTAATACCATGATGTTGGAGATATCAACATATCAGTTTGGGGGGGACACAGACTTTCAGTCTGTAGCATTCCATCCCTGCCCTCCTAAAATTCATTCCTTCTTGAACACATTTATCCCATCCCAACAAACCCCAAAGTCTTAACTCATTCCAGCATCAACTTTAAAGTCTAAGTCCGAAGTCTCATCCAAAGAGCGCCCAGATCAGACACGGGTGAGAATCGAGAAACAGTTCATTCTGCAGCAAATTCTTCTCTCGCTGTGAACTTGTGAAGCCAAGCAAGTTACGTGGGGGAGCCTCGCCAGGCAGAGTCTGCTGCCACCTTGATCTTGGACTTCCCAGCCTCCAGCACTGTGAGAAATGAAACTCTGTTGTTGGAAAGCCACCCAGTTTGTGGTGTTTTGTTACAGCAGCCCAAGCTGACTAGCTGGCGTTACTCCCTGAAAAGTCTCCTTCCCACTCTCGCCCCCCACCTCTGGGGTCTCACCCTGCCCCGCTGTCCACCATTGTTCTTATTTCCTTTTTGTCTCCTCCCTGGATTTTGTGCGCACCCAACAAAGGCTGCATCCACTCCTCCCATCTTTACGCCAAGTGTGACATATTAGACATATTGTCCCGCACCCTGCCTTTTTCAATGAGCAGTGCAGTCTGTATCTTTCCTTGTCCGCCTGGAGAGACCTTCCGCACTGTCCTCGGCCCGCGTGATAACCGCTTGTGTAAAGCTGCCGTAATTCACACTCAGCGGTCTCCATTTGATGGGCATGTGGATTGTGTCCAATCTTTTGCTACAACAAATAACGCTGTAATGAATCAACTTGTGCGCATGCGAGTGTGTCTGTAGAATGATTTTCGAGAAGCGGGATTTCCTTGTCAAATGGTATTAGCATCTGTAATTTGATAGCTGTTCCTTGGCTCTGATTTTTGTGGGCATTCCTTCCCTCTTTTGATGCTTTGAAACGCGGCCCTAAGGAACAAATTGAACAATTTTCCTGGCAGTAAATACAGACACGTCCCTTTGTCACACATCGAAGCTTTTTCTCAATGCTCTAGGGCGCTTACTGGATTCATTTCCTTAGTAAATATTTATTAGTTCACCCTCCCTTTCCCTCCCCTCCTTGCTGTTTTCCATTTTTTTCTTTCATTTGACAAACATTTGAGTGTGGATTATGGGCCAGGCATGTTCTAGATGCTGGAGAAACAATGGTGAGCAACGTGGACACAGTCCTTACTCCGCCGAAGTCCCCACGCTAGTGGGAAGAGGGAGACAATACAGGAAACAGATAAACAAGGTTCTTCCAAATAGTGGAAGAAATTAAACAGGGAGAGAAACCAGGTGGCACTTAGGTAACAGCTGCACCCGCCACCTCCCGCAGCCACATCAAAATTACAACTAAAACACAGAACCACCGTCACTCAGAGCCTCCTGAGATCCAGCTGAACAGAAGCCCCACAACCAGGGAGCTGAAGAAGAACCGAGAGGGTAGGAGGGGCAGAGACGCGGGCGGATCGGGGCTGAATCCCAGAGACTCGGCCACGGGCCACAGTGGTGCCGCGGGGTAAACCCGGGAGGGAATCTCGGCGGCGGAGGTTTCCCGGAGGAGGGAGGGGTCCCAGCCCCACAGCAGGCCCCCAGCCCAGGGCTCCAGCTGTCTCTTATACACATCTAGATGTGTATAAGAGACAGGTCTTGGGAGGAGTAGGAGGCCTGTGTGTCCCAGTCACAGATGTGGTGTGTGCTCTGCCAGCTCTGACTTGACATCTTTCCTGGTGTCACCACTAGTCACAAAATGATTACACCACCTGCAGGCTTGGAGCTGTTTGTGACTCGGCGAAGATTTTTAATGCACTTATACCTCAAGGAACTTACTGTGGATGATGCTGTTAGATAAACTAAAAAGATAAAAGCATGAACGGTGTTTTCCAGATGGCCTGTGGATGGCATGATGTTTCCAACACTGTTGTTTTCGTGCC